TTATTATTATCATCATCATCATCATCATCGTTATTAATAAATCATTATCATTTCATCATCATCATCATTATTAATAAATCATTATCATTTCATCATCATCATCCTCATCATCATCATCATCACCATCACCATCATCATCATCATCATTACTATTTATTTTTTGTCAGCGTAACCATCTTAAAAAAGCGTTCTTCCGAAATTTGAATTCTGATTTACTCAAAAACTTGTTAGTTTCACTTTGAATTTTTTCACACAAGTAGGGTAACTGTTCGCAAAGGGTGCGCATTTGCGAAGAGGGCGCCACCGAATTTTCAGAACGCTTTTTTAATTAGCTCAAAGAGAGGAGTGGACCATCTTATATGTATGAAGATTGTCTTCCAAAGTGCGCGCATCTACATAACAATGCCAAAAGGTGTGATAACCACAAATCGGGAAGACCAGAGAAAGGGGAGTGCAAAGGCAAGAAGTGGTATGGATTACAAAAAAAAAATTATGTACGTCAAATCAGTGGGAGAAAACTCCTGGGGCGAGTGGACAGCAGGAGATCTTCAGAGGAAGAACCAGTCGCGAACAAGTGTTTCGGCCCTAATTTCTTGACACTCTAAGAAAGAGAGCTTCAAAACAAAGACTGCAGCGCCATCTGAAGCAATGAGTGGACTTCTGCGGACACTTTTTTGGCTGAGTGAATGCACAGTATCAATTCAAGTTGTCAACATACGAAAATCTCTCACATCAACTCCGAGGAGAAGGCTATAGCTTCAAGGCCAATCCAGTGGAAGTGGGTGCACGAGGGTTTGTCGCAGCCTAAACATTCACGCTGCTGTGGCAGCTAGGCCTCAAACTCAAAGGCACGAAGAGAATAATAGGTCAAACTACCACCACACCTAGAGCTAGGTTTAATAACCACAAGTATTCAGTACAGAAAAACTCATGCACACCAGTCGGCCAACATTTCAACAGTCCTGGTCACAATGGAGCCTCCGATCTGCTGCTTCGGGGCATTGAAATAGTTCGAAATCCTACCAAAGAAAAACTGAATCAAAGAGAATCAAATTCTCACTATTCTTATCATCGACGAGCCACATTTCAGGGACCTGAAATTTACAACGTAAGGTACTAATCACATTATTTTTAAAGACCGTGTTACTATACAACTACTTCTACCATAGTTACAGTGATAATTAAGATAGTTTGTCCATCTATGTCAGATGTGGACAAATGCGGAGAAGATTAGTCTTTACAGTGGGGTGGAAAAAATACGGACTGAGTTAAATTGTGCATTTCTACCTTGGCTTTGAGCTCGTTTCGAGACGGCACGAGATTCCTACCTGTGTGGAATTTAAAGTTTTAAAAAATTCATTCCACATGTAGACATATGCTGCTGCTACTACTACTACTACTACTACTACTACTACTACTACTACTACTACTACTACTACTACTACTACTACTACTACTACTACTACTACAACAACTACTACTACTACTACTACTACTACTACTACTACTACTACTACAACTACTACTACTACTACTACAACTACTACTACTACTACTACTACTACTACTACTACTATTTACCTTTGCATTAATATTAATGAATAGCTGGACTCCCTTTCAATGAAAAAAATGATCGGTGCATTAACATCAACTGAAAGTCATTGGTCTACTATACTAAACACTCTACTGCAATAAATCTTCAGAATGCAAAAAAAAATAGAAGGTCTAGATCTATACTCTCAAAACAAAATGTGCCTCACGAAATATCACTTTCGGCACCTCCGCGGTGAAGGAGAGCTACGCAGGTTTAGATCTATTTCGTTTCTCGGTGGAATTATCAGAAAGGCCAAAGAAGGACCGGACCTTTTGTCAAATATATTTGTCTAAATTCAGGAAATGAATAAATAAAAAATCGGGCTCCGTCATGGGGACTTATCTATCTTTTTGCGGGTACTTGTCAACTTTCAACTCTGTAGCTGTCGTAGTTTTATGGGAAAAATGACACATGCGTTTCCAAGTTGCCAAATATATAATAGATATAGATTTATAGACTGATTCTCTATTCCGCTTTCGTGGTTGTACACTCCAGAATGTCAAAATGTGTGGAAACAGTGCGAACGGCTAGTGAACTGAAACCTCACTTGTTTACCATGGCGTCTTAGAAGAAGACGGACTTTCCCAAGATTAGATTAAACGAAACTAATGAAAAACTGAAAATTAAACTACAATGACTTCAGGCTCCTCAATAAAACTGTGCTCCCTTTAAATGATTCTGAACGACCATTAATTTGGTCAAATTCGAAAGTTAAGTGGTTCGAAAGTTTTAGGCAGCCAAAGTGACGGCTTTCACAAATACAATATACTAAATGGACCCCCTTTCGGTGAAAGGAAGGATCGGTGCATTAACAACAACTGAAAGTCATTGGCCTACTATATTTATACTCTACTGAAATGGAGCAATTGTTTACAATGGCGTCAAAGGTCGTACATAATTAACAAGATGTTAATACACCGATCATTCCTTTCATCGAAAGGGGTCCAGCTAGTACATTATATTTGTGAAAGTTCGTCACTTTGACCGCGTAAAACTTCTGAACCACTTAAACTAGGAATTTGACAAAATTAATGGTGGTTCAAAATCATTTAAAGGGTGCACAGTTTCATTGAGGAGCCTGGAGTCACTGTAGTTTAATTTTCAGTTTTTCATTAGTTTCGTTTAGAACTAATCTCAGGAAAGTCCGACTTCAAAGACGCCATTGTAAACAAGTGAGGATTCCCTGAAATGTGGCTCGTCGGTGATAAGAATAGTGAGAATTTGATTCTCTTTGATTCAGTTTTTCTTTGGTAGGATTTCGAACTATTTCAATGCCCTGAAGCAGTAGATCGGAGACTCCATTGTGACCAGGACTGTTGAAATGTTGGCCGACTGGTGTGCATGAGTTTTTCTGTACTGAATACCTGTGGTTATTAAACCTAGCTCTATGTGTGGTGGTAGTTTGACCTACATATTGGGCTGGACAGACTTTACATGATATAAGGTAAATTACGTTTTTGGTTTCACAGGTGATGCTGTGAGAAAGTTTTTTTAAAAGTGGGGCCTTCTACAAAGTTGATCACTTTCCTGTAAGCAAGCATACGTTTTGCATCTAGGTTTTTGACAAGGATAATTTTGAGGCGGGGTAAATGGGCTTATCGGAGGTGAGGATGTGGGTGTTACTGCTCTAGTGCGAATGAGGAGGTTGCCAAGATTAGGGGGCTGCCGAAGTGCAACCAGAGGGGGATCGGGGAAATAGGCTTTCATCTTGTCTGATTTTTCCTAAATGTTTTTAAGTTGGCAGTGGATTGTATGTACATTGGGTAGTTTTTGGTGATGAGTTGTGACCAAAATGGTCTTTTCTGTTTGGGCTTGGGGTTTGTACGTCAGAAGGTTTGTGTTGTTCAATTTGCTGACTTTCTCGATAATGGGAGTAATACAATTTTTGCGGTATCCACTGTGAAGAAGATTAGCTGTGAATTACGCTATCCGTTGTTTAAAAGAATTTTCACAGGAGGAAATGCGGCAGAGTCTAAGGGCACCACTATAGACCACAGAACGGAATATGTGTTTGGGATGGTTTGAAGAAGGTGGGAGATAACGGTTGGATTCTGTAGGATTTTTTGTACAGGTCTGTTTCAATTTATTTATTTATAATGAGGAGGGACAGGTCCAGGAAAGAAGTGGATTTTCCTGGGCTGGAAAAAGTAAATTTGATGCTGTGATGCGCCTTGTTGAGATCAGTGAGAAATGTTTGGGTTGTTTCAGAGCAACCATTGTGCAGGGCGATAATTTCGTCCCTGTAACTCATAAGTAGAAATGGTTGGTTGGCAAGGGGGGACGTATTTGCGCCAAAATTCAGCCATAAGAATGTTGGCATAGGAGGGGGCCACCAGGGTACCCATCGCTGTGCCGATCAGTAGGAGAAAATTTTGATTGTTGAATGAAAAATTGTTGAGGGTGAGGGCTAGGCCTAGTTTCAACAGTTTGCAAATTTCTAAAGTTTGAGTTAAGGAGTTACGTTTGAGTTAAAAAGTTAACATAAATTCTTTTAATAATCATTATTATTATTATTATTATTATTATTATTATTATTATTATTATTATTATTATTATTATTATTATTATTATTATTATTATTATTATTATTATTATTATTATTATTATTATTATTATTATTATTATTGCTTAACCTATTCCAGGAGGCTACGTGGTGAACTTGTTCCGGGAAGAGATCCTGCTGTCTGTGGAGGAGTACATGGACCGCCTGGAGCCGCTGATGGAGAGCCTGGAGACTCAGGGCAAGTGGAAGCGGCTGTCACGTGAGAGGTACCCCGAGTACCAGGTGGACCGGGTGGGCATCATCAATGTTCACCAGGTGTGCTGATTGCACAAACGCTGACTGCCATCTGGCACCGAAGTGACCGCATACAAATTAGGATTACTATTATCATCGGCTAGCTGTTAGGATGTATTAGGTCCAGAAATCAAAATGTTACCGGGGGGAAAAACGCATTTCATTCATTTATCACTTGCTCCTTCTTTACATTTTGGGGTTTGGTTTAAGATTGCTTTTTCTTTGCGGAGGGAGGGGGGTCTTTTGTTCTTGGCAAATTCCAAGATCAACGTAATGGGAACATTTATTTTCCAGAAATGATAATGAAATGCCATGGTCAGAGCCAGTCTTTTAGCCACAATATGGCTATCACTAAAGTGTCAAAGGACCTCAGGATCCACCCTAACTGTAGGTTTCAGCACGTTTTTGCTACAAGGGGGGTGGATTTAAAAGTACACAAAGTAACTTATTGAAATTTGGTGTGTGTATTTGACCGGTTGATTCCTTTAGCTAAGTTGTAAAGGGTTGTTGTTGTTTTTCCATCAGTTTGATGGGGTTTTTAATTTTCATGATCAAAATTCAAACTTACTTCTCAGGAAATCATTAGCCTTGCTGCAGAAAGGAAATGATAATTGGCTTCCTCCTTTGTGCTTATTCATCCCCATCTTTTCTTTCATTAAGTTTTACGTGGATGTGTTCAGCAATTGTAAGAGATACACGTTGCTTTTCCACATCTGATCTACTGCGAAGACAATTGAGAACTAGATTTATTACAGATACGAGTAGCTCGATTCGATTTTGACGTTGGATGCCATTGATGCATTCAGTGCCAGCACTCTGCATTAGTTCAGTTAACGTGGTGTCTCTTTTCTCCATAATATCATAACGTAGGCCTATGCCTCGATTAATGCTGTCGTGTATTTGTCTCAGGTCAATAAAAATTATCCTTTCATCAATTTAATTTTTATTGTTATTATTTCAAAACATAGACATAAAAGAAGATGTTTAATCCATACTGAAAACGTCAAAATATTTACTACTACTACTACTACTACTACTACTACTACTACTACTACTACTACTACTACTACTACTACTACTACTACTACTACTACTACTACTACTACTACTACTACTACTACTACTATTACTACTACTACTACTACTACTACTACTTCTACTACTACTACTACTACTACTACTACTACTACTACTACTACTACTACTACTACTACTACTACTACTACTACTACGCCGCCGCCGCTGCTGCTGCTGCTGCTGCTGCTGCTGCTACTACTAGTACTGCTACTACTATTACTACTACTATTATTACTACAACAACTATTACTACTACTACTAATAATAATAACAATAACAACAATTATATTATTATTATTATTATTATCATCATCATCATCATCATCATCATCATCATCATCATCATCATCATCATCATCATCATCATCATCATCATCATCATCATCATCATCATCATCATTATTATTATTATTATTATTATTATTATTATTATTATTATTATTATTATTATTATTATTATTGTTATTATTATTATCATCTTATTATAATGGAGCTAAGCCCGTTTGTGGGGTCAGTATACATTTTTATATGGGTGCCCATAAAATCTACAAAAATATGATTCAGACAAGAATTGACCGAAAGGGTTACATGGGCGTATTTTCAAAGTTCGAAAACGACCTTTTGATTTTCAGGTTTGATGGTTTTTCCTGTAAATCGAAGCTCTCATATGTTTTCAATGTGCCATTAGCCATTTCATATTTTACTGGGGACTACTTCCATTTCATATTGTGCTTCTTCGTTTATGTGCGACAGCTTCCTCTACTATTTCCAGATCTAGAATCTCGATACATGTATCTGACTCTGTTTGGATGTGTGCTTCGTAGTGTTGATGGATATATCTACTTCAAACCACACTTTATTGTATTGACTTTTTCTAGATACATTTGGGATAGTCATGTCCCCAAGACGTTGAGTTCGTTTAGACCCACAACATGTTTACTTCGTTGTATTGGCGCGTATTTGGTGTGTTTGTTTGTTTGTTTGTTTGTTTGTTTGTTTGTTTGTTTGTTTTTTAATAGAGCAAAATTCTAGATCTCGATCTCTTTGTATCCTCGCTGTATTTGAAGCACAGAATTCAAGACTGATTTGGAGTAGCTAGCAAAAACAAAAGTGCCGTTTGGGCTTTGTGCCTGAAGGTTCATGGGTTTGAGCCCTGCCGCAGTGAGCCGAAATTGTGTCCTTGGTAGAGGTATGTTGTGTGAATCTTCCTCACCCGGCTGTAGGCGGGAAAGATGCCTTGTAATAATAATAATAATAATAATAATAATAATAATAATAATAATAATAATAATAATAATAGATCAAATAATAATAATAGTAACAATAATAATAATAATAATAATAATAATAATAATAATAATAATAATAATAATAATAATAATAATAATAAAAATATCTATTTAAAAAATAATAATAATAGAAATAGTAATCATTTGCACTTTAGTTCTTCAAACAATCCAGTGATCAAACAGGCCCGCACAGACACCATATGAAACCAACTTCCACTGTTTCAGAAAATACTTCTAAGCCGCACATACTGCTTGGTTTGTGCGTTTCTTTGTTTGTTTGTTTGTTTGTTTGTCCGAGTAAAGAAAACCACAGTGACACAATAACGATGTGGTTTGCTCCTTTTTCCTTTTTAAAAAACTATCGTCCTTATCTATCTCCCTTCTTTTAGCGTGTTTGTTACTCTTTTGTAAAGCCTCCAATCTTCGGCCCCTATATGACCTTTTCGTGTTGCAAGTGCCGTAAAACCCTTAATAAAAATGAACATTAAACAATAACGGTCACCAGGCGCGTGAAAAACAAGCCAAATAGACAGAAGCATAAGACAGAAAGCAAAGAAGTATCACCTACCAGCGCGCCCTCTAGCCACCCACAGAGTTCTTAGTGGAACCGGGGGACAAATTTAGGAAAAAAAGGACAGGTGTTGAGCCTACTTCTTACATGTAGAAATGTAGACGTTTATAGCGTCTCCCATATGTTTGTGTATGTAGCTTTGTCACGATCAATGGTGTAAAAGGAAGTTGGTCACTCCCCCTTTCCTAGCTTAATTAACAACGTGATAAAAATAAACAATGTTAACCTTTGAGAAAAAGGCATAATATGTACATCCTATGCGCTATTTTATTATGGAAACTTTTATAAACGACACCAAACGATTCCAAAATGTTTTTGACATCCAATGGCCGTAAACACTAAACAAATCACTTAACTACCATTGTGAAGAATGGACAGAGCCAGAGCTCATAACTGTAAAGACACCCTTATTCAACATGTTACTTTAAATCAATGTTCACATAAAAGCAAATGAAACTTACTTTATGTTTTAAAGTCTCGTCCCGCGATTCCTAGAAGTATGTTTCCATCACGAGTTCGTGTCTTTGTCAGCACTTTTATTGGCACAGATATTTGTGGTGTAGAAGTTAGGCACTCGATTCCTGTGAGGAAAGAGTTTTGTCGAGTATCTCTGTCTTTTTGCCGGGATGTTGTATCTCTCTCAACACGGGCTGGCCCTGATAAGCAGGGTTGTGGCCCGTCTGCTAAATGGTCCAAATTGTGTCGTTGACGGCGTGAAATAATACATAAAAAATAACAGCAAAATGATACGCTCAACACCTCCTACTTCGTCCTCCCTGGACGTTTTGTCGCAATATCTCTATCTTCTCTCTCCCCC